AACTTCGGCGGCTGCCGCCTGACTTCTTTCTTCGCCATGGTTCCGCTTTTTCTGCCTTACCGGCTTCTTTTTCGGATCCACAGCCAGTTTATGTACCGCCAGGTCAGGACTAATGCCTGGCATTTCGTGGACTTCGAATGCAAAGATGTCCTTGTATTCTTTCAATAGTTTGTGCAAATCGTCACCCAGGACTTTCAGAGAAGTCGTCCCAACTTTGACTGTTCGGTCAGGACGTGAGTAGTCTAAGATCAGGTCCGTATGCTCACCAGCCGGCTGAGGGCGGAATTCGTCCGACCGCTCCTCTGCCAATGATTGCTATTTTCTGTCTTTTCTTGCGGCCCCCGTCTGGGCTGCCTTTCTCTTCTTGCCGCCTGCTTCTTGAACAGGCGCACTCTCCTTGACATTGTCAAGGTCTGTTTTTCCACCACTTGACCCAGCGGTCATAACAGTGGGCTTGATATCCGAGAGATAGCACTCTCGGGCCATCCTTTGATCTCCCCTTAGGGACCCTACTGTTCCATTATCCCTCTCAAACTTGAGCAACATAAGAGATGGGATTATAACAGCCTTGGAATTATTCAGGGTTGGTCGTCCCAGAATCATGTTGTAGGCCGAGAGTTCTTCTACTACCAGGAACCGGACTACCATGTGTCGTCCTTCCCCTTTTTCACCCAGGCGGATGGGTAAATCCACTCGTCCCACTGGGTGGACGACTCCTCCTCCAAACCCTACTAAAGGGTGGGATGCCGGATGTATGCAATCAGTCTGATATTTTAATTTAGACAGACATTTGCTACTGATAAGATCTGAGGAGCTTCCAGTATCTATAAGGATTCGGCCAACTCTCTTGTTGGCCACTTTACACTCAATAACGATAGGGTCGTCATGCGGCCCCCTTACCCCTCCTAGATCTTCTTCAGTGATGACAATCTCAGGAAATGAATATTTGGAGGGCCGTTCTTGGTGAACGGAATTTACATCTAGCCGCCTGATATTGTCTTTGTTGCCCCTAATAGTGGGACCGCCTCCTGCGAAGCCGCCTGCAATGGTGTAGACGACTGCATCATCTGTATCAGAGTTGTCGGCTTGTTGACTCTTTTTGGCCGACTGCTTTTTCGAGGAAGTGTTCCCCGTGGATTTCTTGACATAAGAGTCAAGATCGCCTTGCTCAGCCAGGCGGTCCAGATACCGCATGAGACTGATGCATTCGTTGGTGTGATGACCAACATCTTCATGATAATCACAAAATTTTTCTTGGTTCCGGTTGCTTGCAGAACCCTTCATGGGGACCGGCTTCTCAATTGAGATCCGTCCCTTGATTTCCTTTAGGATAGCTTGGCTATCCTTGTTAAACGCATACTTTGGGGAGTATGGTTTGAATTCTTTTTTCTTCTTCTGGGCCGGCTGTTTAGAGGAATCAGCCGCCCAGACCTCTTTTCTTTTCTTCTCATCTTTGTTCGACAACTGTTTCTGTCGCCCTTCTTTTTTGTCGAACCTTTTCCCGTCCGACTGTTTTGTACTACAAAGATCAGTCGCCTGTATATAGGCTTCCGCTTCAATCAAGGCCTCTTGAAGAGTCGCCACCCTCTTTCGGACCAAATCAAATTTGAATGTCGATCCGTCTTTGAGGCCTCTGAAAAAGTCAGTATAGGCTACCTCATCCGGTAACCCTTGAATCTGTATTCTCATCAGGTTAAACCGCCTGATGTAAGAACGAAGCCCCTCCTTCTCGCCCTGCTGAATCGTTCCTAAATCAAGGGTCGTCTTCTTCGCAGGTATGTTCATGGCAAAGTTGGAGGTGAATAAGTAAGCAAGCGTCCTGAAGTTATTCACACAACCAGTCGGCAGGTTGCCGAACCATTGTTGTGCGATTCCTTTGAGAGTCGCTGGGAAACACTTGCACCAAGTGGGATCATCCAACACTTGAAGGTACATCAGGTTGGTGAATGCCATCAAATGGTCTTCTGGGTTAGTAGTGCCGTCATAGGCGCCTACTAATACATTTTTCACTTTGGCCGGCTGAGCGGCTTCAGCAATTTCCTTGGAGAAGGCCGACGGCTGTTCCCCAAGTCTAAGCAACCGTAGCTGCCAGTCTATAGGTTGGACATTCTTTGCCGCATGCCCACCAAACAGAGGTGGCTGCAAAAAATATTGTTGTTGCGGTACAAATGGTAAGTTTGGTACCGCCTGGTCACTATGAAAGCCGGACTGACGGGAGGTACCGCCTGACTGACTCTCATGATGCGACTGAGTATGCCTCATCGAGGTATTGGGCAGACTGTCTTGGAAGTTTGAAGTAGAGGCCGACTCTGACAATCGGTCATTCTTCTTCTGTTCTAGCAATAACCGAGCATCTGTGTATGTTTTCTTCGACCCGTCCGCCTGAATATGACGAACAGGTTTCCTCTTTCCTGGAGTTGGAAAGCGGTACTTTGTGAAATCAAGGGCAGGCGGCTCCCACTTCCTAGAGTTAGGATTAGGGGTCGCCTCTCGCCCCTGAACTGGCTTCCTCTTCCCTGAAGTGGAAGGCTTCTTAGCCGACTGTTCCTTGGCTAGAGCAGGCTTCTTGTTGAGCAACTCTTGAATCTCTCCCTTGAAGCCCCTCATGAAGGTCATGAGTTCGTTCCTTGTAATGGGAGCAGACCCATCAGCCGGCTGCTGCTGAACAGGCAGTGCGCCTGCTGGATCACTAAGTCCAGTTTGAAGATGTTCCCGTTCCCTCCTTTCGGTATGACGGGTACGTCGGGCCCTTAGGGTCCCGTCTGAAGCTGTGTGAGCTTCAACTTCAAATTCATTCTCAGTATCGTGGTCCGACTGAACTTGAGGGTCGTCTAGGGGACGCCTCTCTTCAGGAGTCGGTACAGACGTGGATGCCATCTCAGAAGTACTCTCCCCACAGACGGCGCCAAAATGTTTCGGGGTTTTCTGATGTCCTGCGGGAGAGTTACAATTCCGAGACTGGAACCGGACGCCTGTACCTGCAAAACAAACGGATGCTCCGGATGATTGGAGATCCGCCTCCGACGGTCAAGTTAGTACTTGATTAAGGAGTAATTAATGCGGAAATAAAAGTGATTGGGTCTCTCTAGGTGAGAGTGTTTAATATGCGTAATCCCCCTTAATGAGGATTAAGGGAGGTATTTATAACCTTGGGAAACGTGCCAATCCTAGGTTTAGGTTAACCTTGGGCTGATTGGGCTTCCCTCGAAAGTTGGGCCTAGGTGGCCGGTTTCTCCATTAGGCATGGAGTATGCCACGTGTCCTGACATAATAGGTCCAGGGTGGACGAATAGGCGTGTGCCACGTGGCAAGTCCTGACAGTTCCAACTGGGGGACACTTGGCAGGACTTGATTGGCCCACGTGGCGCATTCCGATTGGTGGGAGCAAAATCCCCTAATCAACTAAGGTCTGGTTAAGATCATTCTCTTGTCCAATTTGTCTTTTAAAAAAATAAAAGAATAATAATATTTGTCTAACTATTTTTAGTTTTTTTTTTTTTTTTTTTTTTTAAATGAACTTGACCTCAACCAGCAAGTCGGCAACCTTAAACGGCTATTCCAAATTACCCATACGGCGGTGGAGAAGTAAATGAAGCAAAGGTAGTGTTGCGGTAGCAATAAATGAGGAGTTGATTAAAAGAAAAGAAGGTGAGTTTAAGTTAAGTCTAAGGAAAGAGAAAACTAAAGCCCACTTGCAAAGTGGAAGAGAGTGAAGCGCGTGTAACTCAATTGCGGGCCTTTTTAGTTTGTCATTTAGTTAGACTTGACTATTCATTATCTTTTCCAATTATTATTATAGTTCCCAACTAGGGAGTTATCCATTTTGTTTTTGTGTTTGAGTTCTAGATTGTGTTTGATTGATACCTTTTGACGTGAAAAAGGTTTTTCTTTTCTTCATCTTTTTTTTGACATGGAAAAAGTTTAGTCATGCAATATCAACATCTCTTAACAAAAGCATAATCTTATACAAGTAGTAGTAAAGTTCAAACACTAAGGCTATGATTAGATCACATGATTGGATCTTACTCGTATTTTATAATTTTGATTTAATCTATATTTGATTAAAATGGATGTTATTTGTACAACAATTCTAAAATGATATTTAGCAAAAGTAGCTGCAAATTTAGTTTTATGATGTAATTGAATTTAGTTTTATGATATAATCTAATTTTACCATTTGTGAAATAAGATCACTAATAAGTTGAACTAAATTGATGTAGCTAAAACATATACCTAATAGAACAAAACACTAATACATACTTTGGCAAGATAAATGCCTAAATATATAAATGAATGATCTCCTTGCAAGTTTTGTTTATGTAAATATCCAAAATCAAATCTTTAAATTTATCAATTAATTGTTTTTATTTTAAACAATATAACCCAAATTTTGTGATGCAATACAACATTTCTCATATTTTTGGTTCATTATTAACACATTCACGGTCGATTCTCATTTACTGAACTGAACTGAATTGAATTGAATTGTTTATGAGAGAAGAAAATTAAAAACTGAATTGAACCGAGCTCAGCTGAACTGAAATTAAGCTGAAGAGAACAGACCCTAACTTGGTGCTCATAATAAACCAAACTTGTGGTTGTATGTAAAAGTCAAACTGCTGTGTTTAACTAAAAATGAGAGAGTTAACTGAATTGAATTGTTTATGAGAGAAGAAAATTAATAACTGAATTGAATTGTTTATGAGAGAAGAAAATTAATAACTGAATTGAACTGAGCTCAACTGAACTGAAATTAAGCTAAAGAGAATAGACCCTAACTCGGTGTTCATAATAAACCAAACTTGTAGTTTATATGTAAAAGTCAAATTGCTGTGTGGTTATATGTAAAAGTCAAATTGCTGTGTTTAACCTAAAAAGGAGAGAGTTACTCTGTTGAGAAATCTAGAAGTACACTTTTGAATTGAGCATTATTGGAGAAGTTTCATACAATTGCAAGCATTAAAAAAACTTGGTAACTTTATGTAGCCAACACCAACCAGTTGAACAAGTAGGATTAACAATCCTTGATAAAGAATCGAACTTTCGTCCAATAATTGAATTTAATCAGCATAAAAAAATGACAATAATATTACACCACACCTCTAGAAAAGAGGAGACCATACCCTTAAAAATACAACATACACTCCTAGAATGCCCATCAGTGTAATGAGCAAACACCAGCAAAACTAGCTGAACTACCCGAAAATTCCCTAACTTCCCCTATGTAGTAAGCCTTGGTCATTACAAACTAATAATGATCACATGTTAGCTTATGTTACATTGCTAGCTCACTTTGCAAGCTAAGAAATTTTCTTTCCTTGAACAAGATTCACCAACATTGAATTGATTGGCATGGCTTCAGATAATTCGAAATTTGCATCCAATATCTTAAGGTCAAGACTCTCTTTGAATCATGTTTAAGAGGTCCTGCACTATTTCTGACATAGGAGGCCTGAATTCTGGTTCGGCCTGAAACAAAATTAACGATGTATGAGGTGTGATATTTGCAGTTTGTAAACATATGGAAGCTTTTAAGCTAAACTTATCATGTTCTTTGTGTCATGATCCTGTTCATGACTTCAGACCTACATACATGAGTGGCCAATTTGAGTAAATTGGTTGGGTTTCGGTTTGGTATTGTGGTTCAGATTTGGTTTACGCTCAAAACAAATATAAAAGTGTGCAAAACATGATATAATTATGTGTTATGAATTTATGATTGAAGGAGCAAAACGGGACAAATTCTAGTTGTTGGTTTGTGTTATTGTGTAGGCCTATTGAGTCAAGTTTGCATTATTCGCAGTAACGTTACACCAGGGATCCATTTGAATAATCAGATCACTTTAAAGAGTGTCAAACAAAAAGATATATAGGTGGAGCATGAGTGAAGACTGACCTGAACACAGAGGGAAATAATATCTGCAAAACGGGATAACGATTTAGAGGGATACGATCCATTCAGTGAAGGATCTACCATCTTTGATAACGCATCTATGTCATGCAGCTGAGGAATTGCCCACCTCACAAGAAATTGCTCTCCTCGAGGTCGTGCACTACAACATTACAAATACATCAATGAGCTCGTGTATGGCATAAAAAGTTCTTTCACGAGAAAAAAGCAATAAGAAATTTGAAACATGGAAATCTTGTGTGTCAGAATCTAACCTGTCGTATGATTTTCTGCCAGTCAGAAGCTCTAGCATGACTACCCCGAAGCTGAAAACATCACTTTGTTGAGTATATGTTCCTAGCTCCAGTTCTGGAGCACCATATCCACCAGAAACCTGCAAGAAATGACATCATAGTAAGCAGCCGATACACTGGTGTCTGATTCATATGGAACGCATGAAACCTACAACAGATTATTGGAGTATAGCTGTAAACAATGCAAGTATATGCTGCTCTTCTTTATTAACAATTGAGACTTGAGAGAGATCAGTTATGAAAGAAATAGTACATGAAGACATGTAGTATGCCCGAGTTACAAGTAAATGATCACCTATTAACGTCATATTCTAATTTCATAGCTATACACAAGTGGTACACTACAAACAATCATACAGAAAAGGACATAGTGACATCCTAATATTTGGTCGGATTATTTATCATGATGTAATAGCCATTCTTACACCGTAAACAAAGATACACTGGAATAGGAATTACCTGAGCTGTAAAAGTATCTGATAGCAGAGACCCTAGGCCACAGTCTGAGATTAGAGGCTCAAAGTTATCATCAAGATGAATATTGGCGGATTTGAAGTTCATATGTACAACAGGGGGTTGACAATCCTCATGTAAATATCTTCACAGCAAACAAAAGAGCAAAATTAATTTTTCTGATGTAGGTAAACAAAGCCTGGACAGAAACATGTGAAATAACATTAAAGATAGTATGTCAAGCTTACTCGAGGGCTTTTGCAGCTCCAAGTGCAATTCTGATACGTGCATTCCACGAAAGTTTATTATGAATCTCATCATCAAGATGCAGTGCCTCATACAATGTAGCATTGTTGCAGTATTCATTGATGATCAGTCTTTGCCCGTGCTCAGCACAGTATCCAACAAGATTGACAATTCTTTCATGATGAATATTAGAGATAATAGAAATTAGCTGAGCAAATTCGTCTTCAGTCTGCTGGCTGTAAGAGTCATTGTTGAATTTCTTCACTGCAAAGACCTACAAATGTACAGGCAAAGGAAGTTAGGCTCAACTCTACCAGGAAAGTGAATGGATCTTTGAGATGGGGGAAAAAAGGCTCAGCAAAGCATAGCTCTATGCACATATAGATGCAACAAGAAAAGAGAAGATAATCCTGAAATTTGTTAATCTGGCATAGTACTAACACAAAGACACACTAAGGTGTAACATAAAACCCGCACACATAAACACACAAAAATTAGGGAGTGTGCTTTGATGCTTTCTATACAGCTATAATTTAAGCAATGCTAATCCGGCCGAGAGAAAGGTTTCGGGGTTGAATGATGGGTGTCAGAGGATGTAGAGTGGGGAAAGATACCCAAAAAAAGAAACCATATTATATGACGCATTTACTAATATTCCATTCTAGAGTCTGATATGAGAACACAAAGGAGTTCATGGGCCATGGCTCTTGAATCTTTGTTTGATCACAGTAAAAAGACAGCATTCTATGGAAAGGATTTAAATACTACTCTCCACAATCTATACGAGTAGTTAAAAAATGATTACGTTTGTCTACTGTCAAATCAACAAAGAAGTTACCAGAAAAAGACTAAAATGAATGCAACACAAGAAACATGCACACAGGAAATACACTAAAAACGAAATGACTTTTCAGAATGCACAAAACTACTCAAGACAAAAAGGCAGTTCAGCATCCCAAATCTCACCTTTCCATCAGGAAGTTCAGCCCTGTAAACACTGCCTATCATGCCTTCACCAATAAGATTATCTTCAGAAAAGCTATTGGTGTATTGTTGAAGTGAAGCAATAGTGAAAGACTTCACAGAGCTTGGAAAGGTGGATTTCTGTGGTTTAGTCACAAATGTAGGCATTATTGGTTTCAAAATGATGTTCTCGTTAGAATAGTGTCGAGGAGGTGGCACTGGTTGTGCTGAAAAAGAACTGGCAGTTGTCCCTGTCATGTCTATGGAATGAGCATCTTTACTCATGGCAACTTCTTTTACATCTTTCACCTGATTTTGGTCTACATCCCTCACGTTTGGGGTCTTAAAAGGTATCTCTTGAAACGCTGGACAAACAAAGGATAGATGATCATGTTAGAATGGTTCAAAAGGAGGCCGAAAAAGTCACCACTCATTGTCTCAAAACAAAACAAAAATCCAAGCATGGCTCACCTTTAGCAGCTTGATTATGTTTTTGAGGTAAAGACTCATTATATTTAGGTTTTTCTCCTTTCCCTTCATATACAGGTTTTACATTCCCCTTGGTAAATTCATCACCTGTTTGCCTTCGCTTGCACCAATTTGCAACACCAAACCAAACTCCAAGCACAATAGCTAAAAGAAGCAACACAGCAATAGCAGCACTAACTATTGGCTTTATGTACTTTGTCGAATTTGAGGAATTTGATGTTCTGGGAGCTGATGGGCTATCTTCTGGCTGCTTGCGTGTTTGTTGAGAAGAAGGCTGTCCAGGTAAAGATGCATTTGTTGCAGGCGCTAAAGTTGGGGATCCTGCTGGAGGTGGAGGAAGAACACTGGTATTGAAAGGGTTTCCAGTGCTTCTGCAAAACCAAAAAGAAGCTTAGCTTTGTGCCAGGAATGACTACAGACAGTAAGACACGCATATGCTAAGCAGCTGCTTGTAAACTTTTGAGCAGTAAATTCAGAAAGTCACTGCAGAGAGATTGATACAAAACTACAATGTGTTCTTTGAGCAACTAAATCATGTAAATGAAAAAAATACTCGTATAAAGTAACGTTGTTGTTCCCGTTTACAATTATGCATGTCATCTGACCATCAGTATGGTCGGATAGTTATAAGCATCAAAATCTTTTGTTCTAATTTTTAACTAGTATATTCATAATCAAATCCTATCTTTCATGATCCACCATATGACATGTACATCAGTACATCATTAAAAAGTGAATAAAACATGAAACATATGGCAAATCAACCCCCATAATTTGGACATCAATACAATCAAGTAAAAAATAGGGAGAACCGGACAAAGAACAGCCAATCCTATGTCCCGAAACATTTTGGATATATTTCAGATGCCGGATATCTGAATTGGAATATCCAATCTCTAAAATTTCGACCAGATATCAGATCTAAAATCTGATTTCAGATCTTTCATATCAGAACTACTTGAAATTGAATTGGATTCGGCTCTTTTGGATTCTCAAGTAGTTCTGCAATTTTTCCTCAGCCCTACATCAGTGCCACAGAGGAATTCCTTTAAATCTTTTCTGTAGTACCGGAGTATAATTTTTTTTTTTTCCCGGTATTATGTATTTCATGCAAGGGAGTAAGAAACCAAAAAAGTGAAAAACCATATTAATCTAAAACATCACCGATATCACGTAAAAGAGCATAAAAAATTATTTGACCACCACCAGGCACCAGCTGTTTGATTGAACAAAACTAGCGGCCTACTGTATATCTCTTTTGCTACATTATCATGCAACTCATACTTAGGCTCTCCCTATGAGGAAAGTGAATTCAGCTTATCACAAAGAAAGGTGCTTAATGTAACCCTACATTATCAACTTCATAGCAGAAAAATTTTGGTATAGTATTTGGAATCAATTCAACAAACTATCTAATCTTCAGAGACCTCACCTGAAATTTGGAATAGTTAACAATCTGGGAGGTATAGGGCCGGAGAATTGGTTGTTCTCTACATCTCTGTATGATAGGCAGAAATTAGAGAAAATCACTATATATTAAATTATACAAAGAAAAAACTTTTATGACTTACAAGTCAGTTAAGGGAAGGTTTTGTATAACATCGAGGAGTCCTGTGAGCTCATTATTCTGCAAATGGCTGCAATTGATGGAAGGTGGCGGCTAGGTGAGTGCTTGAGTCAAGATAAGAAAGCAATTAAGAAATATTTTAATGAAATAAACACTCACAGTGTTGTAAGGGAAGACAAATTCCCCATTGATGGTGGCAAAGTACCACTAATGTTGTTCTCAGAGAGATCCCTACACCAAATGAAATAACATACACATAAATACGTTAAAACACGGTAACATAAATGTAAAAGAAAACTTGCAGATACAGTGCAATTTATTACAAGTTTATTAAACCCGAAAGTTGCTGAAAGCTATCAGGTAGTCCCCCAGTCAAATTATTCTTGTTTAGCGACCTGAAGAGTGAAGACGATAGCAAACCCTTTAGAAGAAGCTCAAACATTAACTGCTCTATAGACTTCTTAAGTATGATGATTTGGAAACAAAATGATCAAGTGAAGCTTACAGATCTGTCAACTGACTTAATATAGACAAGTCAGGAATGCCTCCGGTAAGCTGATTATCAGAAAGGAACCTGATACAGTAGATAAATTCATAAACATTCCAACAATTTTAGCAAATAGCAAGTAACAATACACTGCTCGTAATATATACTAATAATAGCAAAACAGCCACAAAAGGATATAAAACATACAAGGTCTTCATTGTTGGAGGCAAATTGGCAGGAATGGTACCTCCAATGTGATTGCCACTGAGGTTTCTGATGATATAGATATAAGTACTAGGATTAGTAAACCATACGTCGAAGTATTCAATCGTTCTTCGTGAACGATAATTCAATACATAAATCAAACTTGTCACCAAAGAAACTCACATAGATATAATTGCAGAAAATGAGTCCAAACTAGTACCCAATTCTCCTCCAAGACCAGCATTGTTTAGTGATCTGCCAAAACACAAAAGCAATATTAACTTAAAATCTTAGAGAATATATTATACTAGTATTATAATTTCAACCCAATTATATATGAATATATGATCAAATAATAAGACTCACATTCCAGTAATGTTTGAATTGACACAAAGTACACCTTGCCAAGCTTCCTCACAAGGGTCTCCACCAAGTGGAATCCATCCAGGTAATGAAGGACTTCCCAATGCAGCATATAAACTATTTATTGCAAAAACTGATAAAACAGCAAAAATCCAAATATAAATAAATAAAAAATATATAAATAAAAATGTATTACCAATTGCATTGAAAAATTTCAGGTGCCTATCAACAATAATTCAAAATCACAAAAAAATAAAATTAATTACTTTACCATCACGGGGATCAGTATATCCATCACAAAACGACACCGTTAAGGTCATCATCAAGCAGACTACTACTGTCCACTGCTGATGGGCCAAATTCAAATTCATGCACCCCATTTTTCTCTCTCTAGGTTTCTTTCTCTTTCCAAATTTTTGAGTAATTTCTACAATGGAGAATCAAAGAAGGACAATTAATAAAAAACATGACATCAAATTCAAAGCATCGACAGTAATTAAAGATTGCATCTTTGAACATTCAAAAAAGCAAGTATCTTAAAGCAAAGAAAAAAAAGATAAAGTTAGCAATACCCAGTTTCAAATTACTTAAAAAGTGAAGGGAAAAAGAGAAGATTGAATCTTTTAGGAGCTTAGATTGAATCTTTTAGGAGCTAAGATGAGTACCCGGAATCAAAATCTTGTTAATTTACTAAAAAAAGAAGTAAAATATGAGAAATTTGTGGCAAAGATTGAATCTTTGTGAGCAAAAATGAATACCCAGTATCAAAATTCTATTAAATTAAGTACAAGTGAAGAAAAAAAACAGAGATTTTGTAGCAAAGATGGAGTATTTGTGACTTTGTGAGCTTACCTGAATACCCAATCAAAATCATGTTAAATTAACTAAAAAGAAAAGAAAAAATAAGAGAAATTTGCAGAAAATATTGAATCTATGTGAACTATGATGAACACCAAGCATAAAAAACATAACAAAAATTGAAGAAAAAAAACAGAGATTTGTAGCAAAAAGATTGAATCCTTGAGAGAATTGATGAACACCCATTATCAAATTTCTGCTAAAGTAACTACAATTAAAGGGAAAACAGAAAATTGTACAAAGATAGAAGCTTTGAGCAACTTACAGGAATAAACTCTCTGGAATTTCAACACCAAATCAGCAATAACAGAGTTCTTGGAGTTAAGAACACAAATTATTGAATTCATAAAATCAAATCAATGACAAAAAGGTGAAAGAAAAAGGCAGAAAATCTGAAGAGACTGAGAAAAAAAGTTGTAGTTTAAACACGCTCCCTCTTTTTCTGATTCTCCCACACTTCCCACCTCTGCTTGTCTTTGTAAGCTAGTTGAGGCTACAAACGGCTAGGAAGATTTATTAATTATTGTTATTAAAATGGTTGAAAGTACCGAATTGTTTATTAGTACTTGTTGGGAGACGAAAGAATGTATCGTGTAGGATATGTATCAAACGTATAATTTGACTTAAAAAATTAGGTTTTCATGAAAGATGGTACTTGTATCGCAAATGATTTGTAAATTGGGAAGGTTTATGTAACAATAAATGCATATTGCCGTTGTAGCTTTGTTATTTTATGGCAATTTAAATACAAAGTATCCTAATTCTTCTAAGGGACAAAGTAAGATGTGGAGTAGTTTATTTTAATAAGGCGTGTTAGTTATCAAGCTTTGTAGAGATTGTAGGAGCTCATCTTACTACTCTAAGCCTCAGTCACAAGTTCAAGCTTACATATATATTGGTTTAACCTAAAGTAGTATATTTTTCCAAAATATAAATTGTTACTTCGTATGAGGAGATCAAAGTAATCACAACTAAGGTTCGGTTCTCATTGACTGAAACTAGCTGAACTGAAATGAATATTTTATAAGATGAGAAAATTAGGATTTGAATTGAACTGAACTTAATTGAAAATAATCTGATGATAACAGACCCTAAATATGAAAAGAAAGTATTAGTTACAGGCTTTCGGGATCTCGGAGTTAGTGGATAAGGAAGTATTGGTTATTAACTTTTGGATCACAACCAATTTTCAGGATATCCAAGAGTGTGAAGAATTTTGTGAACTCTTCTAAATTAAGTATAATAAGAGACACTTTAATAGGGAAAAAAAATATATTACACAAAGAATTCAGTTGTGCAAAGGTTTTTTTTCCTTTTTTGGTCCATGTATCATATCACTAAATGTCTAAATGTCATACTTCATAAATCTTAGATACAAAAAAAGTTCCTACTTTAGTAATTATAACACAAACATATACGGAGTAATACATAATGTCATAATATACATGTATAATGAACCTCATATATCAAATAAAGAAACTATGTCACTCCTACTTTAAGAGACTATATTCATATTAAATGCATGTAGCCTTACTAGGTAAGGTTTTCAATCACCACTTGCATTTCAATGCTAGCTCAAGGTTCTCAAACATAAAAGTTCCTATATTTCAATTATCAAATTATGTTCTAACAACTTATATTCATTTTTATTGTGTGTAACTCAATTATGTTACACTTCACACCAAATTAATTGCTTAGAGAGAACAAAATGAAACAACATAAACACTCTAGTCAAATGGTATTCGAGGATAAGTGGGTAAGATGGGAATTTTCAGTGATTGTTGTTAACAAAGGGTCCTCAAATAATTACTTTATTGCATGGCTTACTTTAGTCTCCAAAGTTTTTGTCAGCTTCCATGATCGATTACTAGACAATAGCCCTACAAGTTGGACCACTACATTATAGATTTTAGCTCAATTGTTTTAAGTGTTGGCCTATTTGCACAATTTACGTCCTCATTGAAGTAATCCGATAAGGATGTCTAGTAAATGGTAACTCCCTCTATTTGTCCAAATGTAACATGCTAACATTTAACCCTTTCCTACAAATACAAAGAATAAGTTTTAAAAAAAAAAAAATCTTATACATACAAGTATATGTAACAAAGAAGTTGGGATTCGATAGATTACCACATCGTACTACTGACTCCAAAATGTAGGATTAAGTTATAATTTTATATTTCAAGATAACTTGCTTTTTTAATCATCATGTGTGATTAACACACAAGGTATAATTTAGTCATTTATAATTTTACTAGATTTGATCGATTTATACTTTAGTGCATCAATTTTTAAAATTAAATTATATATGTAATGAATGCTATATATCATGCATCTTTCTAGTCAAATTTATTTTGTACTCCACTCTATATCACCAAGAAGATCAATAATATAGCAATACTTTATCCTTTTAATTAGAAAAGAAAGGCTGATATGTTATTAATTTGGTGGAATAAGGCAAAACAAGATAATCAATATTCATTAATAAAGTGATGTTTTAGTCTTTGAGGCATCTTTTCTTGTTAATCAAGTTAAATACTCTAGCTAGGATTAAAGATCATCGTTTGGTATGACCTAATTTTTTGGTGTCTTACAAGGCATAATTTGCAATAATGCAGGAAAATCCGAAATTTTAGTACACTATATATGTATCTTAAAAGAGTGGAGTACATTATAGTGTGGCACAATTTGCCAACTACTTTTAAGCTTAATGAGTTCTCTTATTACTCTTTGTTCTCACATTGATCGATTTTTTAAGAGTGGTCATTTTATTTACAAATTAATGTGTATGACCGAAGGTATATAGTACAATTTTATTTGCTAAAATCCATTAATGTTTGCATGTGAATTATTTTACATTGAGAAGAGGGGAGGGTTTTAATTGTATAAGTTCAACTGTTTGAAGAGTTACTCTTACCATTATTAATTAGGGTTGTTTGTTTCATTAAAATGGGCAGGATGAATGGCATGGCATAAAATCTCATAATATGGTCTATATGGATAGAATCAAAGAATTAGCTCTCAATATTTAGGGCATGTTCACATTTACTGAACTGAACTGAATTGAACTGATTGGAGCTGAACAGAACTGAACTGAACTGATTGGAGCTGAACATAACTGAGCTGAAATGAATATTTTATGAGAGAGGAAAATTAGGAACTGAACTGAACTGATTGGAGCTGAACTGAACTGAATTGATAGGAGCTGGACTAAACTGAACTGAAATTAAGTAAATGTGAACAAGCCCTTAGCCTAATAAAATCATTAGATCTCTTTTCTTTTATCAACTTAGAATACTCACATGCGACAATTCAACTAGATTATTAAATCCTAACATTTAACTTCATATATTTTTCCGATATCTAATATCTCTAACAATATCCAACCGAATAACCTATTAAACCTAAAAATTGTGAAATTTTCTTCATGTAAAAGTTGATTGTGGAAAAACATACATCATGATTGATGTTGCTAATAGATTACATACACGAATCTAATAAGTGTGATCCCCCAATTATGTTGCTATTTGCAAAAGTTAAATGCGGAGTATGTTGTTTTTAAGCAAATAAGTAAAGATGTCCTTTTTTTTATATAAGAAAAAATTCCTTTATCAATTCCTATAATACTCATAATCCAATAATAATGCAGCTTATCTCTTGTGCAAGGAGTAAGGAAAATAGCCCACAAAAAAAGTGAGCAAAGTAAAGGGAAAAAAAGGTGTACCCAGTGCTTGATATTCGTCATTGTTGATTAAACTATTATATGCAACCAGTAGAAATATAAAATACGAAGTATATCATTCCAATACAACAATTACGAAGGACTTGTATAATTTTTTAAAAACTTTATATGTACTTCCTCCATTGTATTAGATTGGTTTTTTTGACTTTAATTGTTTTTCTATATTAAGGAAGTATGGAGTATAAATTAACTTTTTTTTGTAATTTATTTTATACAAAGTACATAAGAAGGTCATATCGACTCTTATTAAATCTGTTTGTCTCGATAAATTTATAGATGTTTACTATTTATATTTATTTATTATTAGTACGGAGTAATTGAAAATATAAATAATCATGCATTAACAAATTAAATACCACGTGTTTAAAGAAATTTGTCAATTACTTAAAAAAAAAAAAAAAGAAATAACATATATATAATTGATGATTAATTATATGTTTATTCATTTACTAATTAAGTTTGTTGATTGGTATGAATGTATGATGATGACATAATGTTAGTTGGTCACTTTATCAGGTGATTAAAGACAAGCTAAGGTGTGTGCTACTTTAGTCTCTAGATGCGACAATTAGTTATTATTATTTTATTTTTTTGAAAACACGACAATTAGTTATTACTTACTAAGAAACAACTGATTTCGACTTTGACATATACTTAGTCGCTAAGAATCTAAGATATACCCCGTATGATGCAGATGAAGTTTGCATGCCATCGCATTACATATAACTCGATGAAAGTTGGATACAAGCTAAGTTAGACTTTTCATTCTTAATTATTTTATAAGTCATTAAGATGTAATATTTCATTATTAAAGCCGTAATAATATCTTTCAAAGGAAAAAAAAAAAGTCGTAATAATATAAGGGCTTAATCTCTAGCTTGAGTATTTTTTTTTTGTCTTGCATATCATTGTGATTTGTGATGCTCTCCACCCTATGGCCTATAATTTGTCCCAAAATAATTGACACAATTAAACTTCTCACACATGTCGACGACTAGTATGACACTATAACCTTATGTTATATAATTATATTAACAATTTTTTTTCAAAGAAAAAGTTATACTTATTAAACTTTATGTTGATACTATCTAACAACATATTTTATGAAAAATAAAATGTTTTTATTAGGTTTATAAAAAACTACTATCAATAATAATACAAGTATATAAATAGTTTAAAAACTAACATAGTGCCCGTGCAATGCACGGTTTATATATCAAACTATTAAACCCGTAGGAAAAATAAAAATAAAAACAAAGGTAATTCATTTATTATTAAAGGACTTGGTTACTAATGGTCAATAAAAAAAATTAAAGGAACGTTATTTGGATAGTATTTTATGTTATTTGAATTTCTTTTAATTTTTATAATGTTATTTTATTAATTGAAAAATAATTGAATAATACTCCACATGGCTATATAAGAAGTGGACTAATTTATTTATATCTCCCAATGAGAAAAAACTAAAATTTTCTTATCATACCATCCGCATCAGAAGCTACAATCAATCTAATATATACATGTTTTATTTACCCGTCGCACTCATTAAATCTATAGACACAATAATAACCTTATATTTGACCTACTAGAACATATATTTTCCTAAGTTAAGCATTGTGCCAAAAACTATATACAGGGCCGTAGCAAGAGGAGGGCAGCTGGGGCGGCTGCCCTGGGCCCCTTGTTAAAAAGTCCAGCTTTAATACAATACAAGGCCCCAGAAAATATACTTCGTACTAAATAATACTATGTATATGTATTTTTAAGAAAAAAGAAATAAAGAAAACAAGAAGTGTGTACTATTCAACACTACAATAGTGCAGTAGAATTCCAAAATATCAAATGACATTTTTGGTCAGCGTATTTCTTCCCTGATTTTTTGCCCAAATTATTCACTTTCCTAAGTGAATTTGATTAACAAAAAAAAATGTCATTAATTTAAATTATATCCACGTTTTTGGTAATTTTATTTTTCAAAATGTATCTCATTACAATTTTCAGTTAGTTAAATTCATTCTCTTTCTCAATTCAATTGAATATAAAAACTAAAATAAATGGTCTTTTTACTCTTCAATTTTCAACGGGAATTTATCTAATTATATATAATTCTCTTTG